TATTTTGATCTCAGTCTTTTGTAATGAAGTTGACTTTACAGCGCCACCATGTGGTGAGGTTTAATCAGGGTGTAACGAATCCTTAATGTAATTAAGGTGAACGTGATTAATGTGAAACTACATGAAAATCTATTTTCATCCATCTGTCTTTTTGGCATTACATAAAGTGACTATTATTTGTGTTATGGAAAGTTATAACTTTTAGTGTTTAAATTGATTGATTTGCGTTTTTTATTTAAATTACAAGAGGCCTACATACATTAGCCAACTTATTGAAAGAGGTGACTCTTTTTTTTTCTGAAAAACTGGACCTTTTTGCAATGATTTGCCTCATTTTATATTTAATTATAAGGTTTAAAATGTTGCATTATAGTGACATTTTAAGCTTTTATTTATTTATTTTATTTTTATTTTTTTTGCTGGATTCGCTTGATGGGTAGTGATCATAATCACACTTTTTGATGTACCAAAAATATTTCCTACCAGTTTACCAAATCCCTTACCATACTATTTTACGTGTTTATTTCCAAATGTGCATTTAAACTGTAAGTTTTATATTACAGTTTTTTTTTTTTAAATGTTGAGATTAGCATTTTAAACTCAAAGATTTAGAATAAAGAAATATGAAAATATACATATTATCATTATAATCTATCATTAAATTCTTTTTAGGGATCTGTTAAAACTTGAAATTAAAAACTTATATTAAGAAGCTTATATGCAAATAAAAATCTGGCCAGTACATTCAACTTTCCTCAGTCAGAATTTCAATAGTATCTGGATGCAGCCTTTATGATACAAGCTGAGATTGCATCACTCAGCGATGAAATGTTAGAAACAATGCACTCAGTGGAGTGAGTGACGTCGCTGTGACAGGTAGGGTTAAGGATGGAGTTAGGTGAGCGCACTTAAAAGCATTGGATGCAGCTCAGATTGCACTGCACCGAGTCTGCAGCCAGACCCCTCTCCAGAATTTGGCCATTTCAATAAGTCACAGATAATATTCAAACATAATAATATTAATACAACAGAAGATTCCTCTTGGTCTTAAAGCCTTTTTTTGATTGGTTAATTTCAGAATTTATGATAGCATAGAAGTCAAACATGGAATAAATGAGCTCATATAAGGGACAAATTCTGGACTTTTGTCAATGAGGGGTGGGTCTCTCAACTTTTTTTGGGGTTAGTCCCTTATTAGAGCCTGACAGAATCTGCGGCACATATTTTGTTAATTCTGCAGAGAATTTTGCAAAAAAAAAAAAAAAACTGTGGATTTATGCGGAATGATTTTGAGAGTATCGTACACACTAAGAAATAAAGGTATGCAAGCTGTCACTGCGGTGGTACCTTTTCAAAAGGTAAACATTTGTACTTGAAGGGTCCATATTGCTACCTTAAAAGTATATATTAGTACCTGAACATTTTAAGAGGAACACTTTTGTCCTTTTTAGGTACTAATATGTACCCTTAAGGGTATTAATATGAACCTTTTAGGAACAAATTTGTACCTTTTGAAAAGGTTTCACTCCAGAGACACTTGCATACCTTTATTTCTGAGAGTGTAACTAAAAACTTAATATATGAAATAAAAAACAATGCAATTTTTAACTTGTTTTTAATGTTTACAATGCAAATCTAATTCATTCATTTATTCATTTTCTTGTCAGCTTAGTCCCTTTATTAATCTGGGGTCGCCACAGCGGAATGAACCGCCAACTTATCCAGCAAGTTTTTTGCTCAGCGTATGCCCTTCCAGCCGCAACCCATCTCTGGGAAACATCCACATATACACACACAGTCATACACTACGGACAATTTAGCCTACCCAATTCACCTGTACCGCATGTCTTTGGACTGTGGGGGAAACCGGAGCACCCGGAGGAAACCCACGAGGTTCGAACCAGCGACCCAGCGACCTTCTTGTGGCGAATGTGCTACCCACTGTGTCGCCCCGCAAATCTAATTAGATCCAATAATTTCAAAGCAAGTCTCTTATATAATATCTCTACTAAAAGACAGAAAATATTACTTAACAAACTCTATTGTAAATAAAACATGAACATTTTCATATTAGGCAATAATATTACTGAAATTAATTTAAAACTGAATAAATATAAATTTACACACATTTACACAAGTAAATAAATTCTGCGTGCACAGAAATCCGTGTGGGTCTACTTATTAGCAGTTAAGCCAGTCTTTTATGAAAAATGGAACAAGACTTTTGAACTTATTATGGACAAATGTCTCATTTGCATATTTAAAAAAAGAAAACTTTAGATATGTTTCCAAAAATGTTTGCAATTATTTTTAACTGGGGAAATATGCTGCTAAATGTTTTTATTTTATTTTATTTTTTACCTATATATTCACCAGCAGTGTCATCAAGTATATATTATCTTAATGATGCAAGCTGAGATATATCTCAGAGATGCAATATCAGATAAATGCACTCTGGAGCTAGTGACATCACTGTGAGGTGTACGGTTAGGTGTGGCCATTAAAAAGGATTGCATGCAGCTCAGATTGCAACTCCACCAGACCCCTTTTGGAAGCAGGAAACAAATGCTCAGACAAACATTCAACTTTCAGTAAAAAGGTTTTATTTACTTAAACATTTACTTTACATGCATAGTGAAACGTGAGTTATTTTACTACATTAAAAAATAATAAAAACAATAATTTTGGGCCTTTTCATTTGAGGTTCATCTTTTTACAATTATTAATTATTACATGCCAAAGTTTTTTTTTTTTTTGATAATTCAATACAGTTATTATAAGATACTATAAGCAGTAATTGCAGTTTATGCAAATGAATGTGCATAAATGAGCAATTTCAATAAATGAATAGCTATTTACTTTTCAAAAGGAAATGCTAAAGGCTGGATATTACTGGAGATTACTCTTTGGCATCAGAATCAGGACTGACAGCATGCTAACCTAAAGGCAATAACATGCCGCAGTGACAGATGTATTGCCGAGTGTGTATTTCTGTATCAAGTTGGTTCTGGATTTAGATCGGGATAAAAATAAATGTTAAATGCACTCGCCAGTCAGGGCCAGTACTTTTAAGATTTTGTGGTAAAGTATTTTAGAGTTAAAATCAAAGCGTTCATAGTGTTTACTGGTAAAAAATGTTTATACAGTTGAAGTCAGAATTATTAGCCCCCCTGAATTATCAACCTGCCTGTTTTCCTAATATCTGTTTAAAAAAGAGGATTTCTTCAACACATTTCTAAACATAATAATTTTAATAACTCATATAGTAACTGATTTATTTGATCTTTTTCATGATGACAGTACATAATATTTGACTAGATATTTTTCTAGACACTTCTATACAGCTTAAAGTGACATTTAAAGGCTTAACTGGGTTAATTAGGTTACCTAGGCAGGTTAGGGTAATTAGGCAAGTTTTTGTATAATGATGGTTTGTTCTGTGGACTATCGAAAAAATATAGCTTAAAGGGGCTAATCATTTTGACCTTAAAATGGATTTAAAAAAATTTAAAACTGCTTTTATTCTAGCCTAAATGAAACAAATAAGACTTTCTCCAGAAGAAAAAATATTATCAGACATACAGTGAAAATGTAATTGCTCTGTTAAACATAATTTGGGAAATATTAAAAAATAAAAGAGAAAAAAAAATTCAAAGGGGGGCTAATATTTCTGACTTCAACTGTATTTCAGTAGATTTGTAGATAGTACTTTACATTTTCTTGTCAAAATGGATTACTTATTAATTGCACATCTATTTTTATAACCTTTTTCTAATCTGTTCAAACAGATGCAGATCTCCCCATGCATGGCAAACATAAAGCAATATGGCCTGCTGTCTCTTTAACAACGGTATGCAACTTTCATGCATTATTAAAATGACAGTATTAATAATAAATATTATTTGGTGTACATCGTTTGCAATATTCAGCCAGTATGTACAAAAACAAAACGCTTCCTGGCAAAGTAATATTGCCTTCATAATTCAAAACCTCAGTGCAAAAAGGAGAACCCAAAATATTTGTACAGCTTAATTTGAGCACGGAATCAATTCACCTGTAAGAATTGAATGACATTCACAGTAAAACATAACAAAATCCCACAGAGGTCAGGTGAATAACGTTTTTTTTTCTGAAAAAGGTCATACAAAGCATTTCTCTATGACGTATCTATAACAAAACATGTTGACAGTGGGGAAAATGCACAGTATATTGCAAATTCTATGGAAAAACAGCAATACAGAAATAAACAATGCATCTGTAATTGTCAGAGAAGATTAGCAAACACATTAATGTACACACATACTGTAAGTGTTTTAATTTTGGCATTTTCCCAAAATAGTCAGCTATCAAAAATACTGTAGTGCAGTTCTTTAAGTAGGTCAGAGAGCCTTAGATTTCATTAACAACAGCCACAAAAAATAAATAAATAAATGCAACAATATACAGCAGAATAAATAAATAATCATGCAATTAACACAGAATCATTCATAATCAGCGCTTCTATCCCTAAGAGAATATTCCCAAACTACTCCCATAAATAAATCACCAGGAGAAAATGAGCAAAACCGGCTTGATTCCTGTTTGGCAGCTGATAACAAGACATATCACTGCTGAGTTCACAAATACATACAGTATATGTAGCAGAAACAACGGAGAACTTGTGCTCATTTGAATTCAGATCGTAATTATGAAGAATGAGAAACACATTAAGTCTTTGGTCCAGTTATTTATTATTAAAGTTGCTGTCAAACATGCTTAAATGATTCTGATGATTAGTTTATAAATTAACAAGTATTTTATTCATTATTTGTGTCAACAGTGACTTATAAATCATGCTTTTTGTGCTAAAAGACAATGTCATCATACCTACATTCAGGTAAGTTTAATTGTTGTGTGGTTCTCATAAAACGGTAACACTTTACAATAGAGACCCATTAGTACAGTTTTTTGCAAGAGTGTGTATTCTTGCAATTCAGATTTTTTTCTGATATTTTTACTCCTTTTTTACTTTTACCTAATATATATATTTTTTTTCAAATTGTGAGTTTTTTTCTTAGAAATGTGACTATTTCTCGCCAATCAAAGCTTTGGGATTTTAACTGCAAACTATAAACTCAATTTTTCTCATCTGGGGTATTTTTGTGAGACTAAAAAGTCACAGTTATCTTATTTATAAAATTATACGATACAAATACAGATAGTTAATATTATTTTATGGGTTATCTATCATTAAAGGGCTAATTAACTCAAGAAAAAAATAATTTACTCCTTCTCATTTGGTTTTAAACTTTGAGTTTATTTCCGTGAGTTAAACCTATGAGTTTCTTTCTTCTATTCAACACAAAAGAAGATATTTTGAAGAATGCTGGTTGTTTGCACCCATTCACTTCCACAGCAGGCAAACAATTACTATATGGAAGTCAATAGTTGCCAGCAACCAACATTTTTCAGACTATCTTCAACAAAATATACCCTTGTGCACTGTTCAAATGTACTACTTTTTGTTATGTTATGGATGAAATCATACAGTGACTTAAACTGCTGTAAAAATGCATCAGATACATCTTTCTTTCAAAGTTTTCTGCATAAATCTGTTATTAAATTCTGTTAATCAACCTCGGTCCTGATCAAAACTATCAAATTGTTAAGAAAATTACAGGATTTTAACTCTTTAATTGCCAAGTTCACAAATGATGTCACTGATTTAGTGAAAAAACACAAAAAAATGTACATATTTTCAATATAAAAAGTATTGTGGATTGGATGTGTTTGCCTTTTATCACAGGCTTGGACATGTGAAAGATTAAAAACAACATTGGCTTTGATGCATTGTTAGATTTTCATTTTTTTCTCTCCAATTAACCATTGGTGGTTGTTTTTGCTCTATTAACTTCCATTATATCCACATTTGATAATGCATCAATACAATCTTTGTTTTCGTTTACTCCATGTAGTTCTGAGAGCTGAGATGCATATTTTGATTTTCTCAGACACAACAAGGTAAGTGCATAAAGGTCACTCTCAAACACTCACATACGCACTTTAATTTTCTGTTATACTCCATATAAAATTCAGAAACTAGGCACAGGTCTATCTAAAGGGTTAAAAGTGACAACTAATGATCAACAGTAAAAATGACAAATTTGACCTCTTCCCAACAGAGAAAACCACCAACAATCAAAAATGCATGATTATATGGTGTCATGGTTTTGTAATCTAATAAATGTGGTTATAATGGAAGTCAATAGGGCAAAAACTGCCACCAACAGTAAATTAGGGCAAAAAATGAAAATGAATCCAAAAACAATGCCTCGAATGCAATGTTGTTTCACATGTCCAAGACTTTGATAAAAGCTAAAAAAATCTAGTCCACAATTACTTTTAATATTGAAAGTACCTCACTTTGTGTGTTTTTTCACCAAATCAATGAGTATGTTTACATAGACACCAATCATTCGATTTTAATGCGATTAAGACAATACTCTGATTATTAGTCTACCATGTAAACAGCAATTTTTGATTAATTTAATCAGATTAAGGACATAATCAAACTAAAGAAAGTACAGACATTTAAACACCTTAATCAAACTATTACCATCATGTAGGACATTTTGCAACAGAATAGTCCGCACACACACGGTTGTTCTATTCTTTGCGCCTACCGAGTCAGGAGTCAGTGAAGACCACAGACGCATGCAACAAGAAATGTTTTTTTTTTTTATCACATTCAGCGTGCAGTATGAATTTCCATTAAACAACACTCTTCCAACAGTTTATAGTTGCATCCAATATCTCGTTTGTCAAGGGGGCATGCATGAAATGTTCCCGGATGAAAGTGAAAGTGCCAAACTGCAGTTAAAGTCCACAAATTAAAAATGAAACACCCAAAATTACATGAAACTCCGGAGGAAACGTGGATAGCACGGAGACGCAGACGTTAATGGAATTATGTGCAATAACTTGTAAAACGGGATCATAAAAGGAACATTCAAAAAGCAACTCATGTAAACACCTTACTCATATTATTGTCTTAGATTAAGGCAAATAATTCATTTAACGATGTCCATGTAAACAAAATCAGAGACATTATTGTTGAACTTGCCAATTAAAGAGTTAAAATCCTGTAATTTCCTAACCAATTTAGTAGTTTTGATCTGAAGTGAGTTTGATTAACAGATTTATGCAAAACAATTTGAAATAATACTTGTCTGGTGCATTTTTTACAGCAGTTTAGTTCAGTGGATGTTTTCATCCCTAACATAACAATGGGGTAGTAAATTTGCTTAGAATGTACTGTTGAATTTAGTTGTATTTTTTTTTAATTCAAAGCATTTTCTCAAAATAAGATTAGTCACCAAAAACATTTTGCTAGCTGAAACACAAAAAAGTTATGGCCAAATTAAGACTCAAAATCACCCCAGAGTGGATGAAAACACCTCCAACACTACATAAGAGTTAAGAAACTATTAAGGGTTAACAATGTTAATTTTCTGGTGAACTGTCCCTTTAGCTAACAATTAGCAATAAATTTGTTACAGATTTGTTGATATTTTTAACTTTAGTTCATAAAAATTCAACTGTTACCTTATCATAAAGTATTACCCATAAAATCATACTGTACTTTACAACTAGGCCGATTTTATTGCGAACTTCAGTAAATCTGAAGCTCCATCATAAAACGAAGGCCACATATTCCTGACACAGTAATGTAGAATCCTCATCCAAATGCAGAGATGGTCCAAATCCCACTCAGATCCTCCTCGCACCACAATAAAAATGACGCACATTTGGATGACATGAACACAGTCAGTCATACGAGCTGAACTGAAATGCATGCTGACATGTAAGAGCGTAAACCCTTAGGAAAACTGTGACACAAACACACACCCACACATGACTGTAAACGCCTCAAACACACACTCACAGAAAGCAGGAGGTTTAAAAGTACAAGTAGTAGGTCCAGTAGAGGAGGTTGATGATGACGAAGGACAGAGGGAAGGTCAGGCGGGAGTAGTTGTCGATGTAGTGTGGGTTTTCCACCTTGCAGCAGTACAGACAGCGTATGATTCGACGTGCCCTCGACATGCATTTGGTGCAGCGTGTCTGTGGCTGCGAGGAGCTGACGTCCTCCTTACTTTCACTGGGGGTTGGGTTGTTGACGCTGCCCATGCGGGACAGCATCTCCTCCCGTTTGCGGGCCCGCAACGCGTGGCTGCCGAAGGAGGTGACGATGCCGTTCATTTCATCCTCGCGCTCCTGCATTTCCTGGCCATACTAATGCAGCAGTGAGATATAAAAGTGCTTTAGTTTTTGTCATGACTATGGCAAGGTTAAAAAAGAATTTTTTATATTAATGAAAAAAATGATAAATTGTTTGCCGCTCTTAACCACTTTTTTCTTAGAACTGCAAAGAAATGAGACATTAATTTAGCTTTACTATTTCGTATAGTCAAATCAAAACTGTGCGAATTGGCAAGTTATCTAATTCACAGTTAATCTAATAGAGTACACAATTAAAATTGTTTTTATATGCAGCGATTGAAGACCTCCTAAGCATTCTCAGTGTTCTGGATTTACAATATTTTGTCATGTTTAAGTACAATTTTATAGAATTTTTCATTCATTCATTCATTTTCCTTCAGCTTAGTCTCTATTTCATAGGTCGCCACAGCGAAATCAACTGCCAGATATTCCAGCATATGTTTTATGCAGCGGATGCCCTTCCAGCCGCAACCCAGCACTGGGAAACACCCATACACACTCATTCACACACACTCATACACTACTGCCAATTTAGTTTATTCAATTAACCTATACTGTTAACCGGAGCACCCGGGGGAAACCCACACCAACACTAGGAGAACATGCATACAAAAATGCTGACTGACCCATCCAGGACTTGGACCAGTGACCTTCTTGATGTAAGTCGACAGAGGTAACCACTGAGCCACCATTAGGAATTTCCAGTATTTTTAAATTTTGTGAATCATTGGTTATATTTTTTCTAAATTAATAATAAATGTTGTAAATATAGGCAGTTTGCTTGAAATGACAATTAGTCAAAACAACAAAAAAGAGCCTGTGTTTTCAGACATGTTCTAAAAATGTTCAATATAATATAATTTTCCATGTAAACACACACAAGAACACAAAGAAAACAGAAAACAACAAAGTAAAGTTACAGGATAGAAAAGAAATAATAGAATAGAGAAGAAAGTTTTATATGTGCAGGCCAGAGCAATTTTCCTACAAAACAATACTCTTCTGGTCCTGCTGCATTGGATTTTGTAACACGTTTTTTCCCTGAAATCTACTGTTGGCCAAGATTTCATGCACTTAATGTATTTTTACATCATGTAGACTCTTTCAGTCTGTATCTAGAGGACTGTGTTCTGTTCTAAATTTTGATTTGCTTTTTTTTAAGTTGGCATGAAATGAAAGTTGAAAGACAAAAATGGATGATTTTGTTTGTCTACTTTAACATATATTTGAGTAAAATAACTTTTTGAATGAGAAAAAAAGTTGATCTTGATCAAGTCTATCAGGAATTGAATGGATGATGATGTGGTTTGCTACTGGTGGATCTCAAGTGAGTGACAGTAAGCAATAAGCATGTCATCAGAGAAGACTGTTGCAGGCAGGAAGAAAAGTCTTTTTGATTGAACGTTCATTCATTCATTTATTCATTCATTCATTCATTTTCTTTCAGCTTAGTGACTTATTTATCAGGGATCACCACAGCGGAATGAACCACCAACTATTGTGGCATATGTTTTACACTGTGGATGCCCTTTTCCAGTTTCCGTTTCCCAACCCAGTAATGGGAAACACCCATACACTCTCACATTCACACATGCTGTCATACACTTTGGCCAATTTAGTTCATCCAATTCACCTATAGTGCATGTCTTTGGTCTGGGAAACCCCACAAACTCCACACAGAAATCGGACTCGAACCAGTGATCTTCTTGCTGTGAGGCGACAGTGCTAACCACTGAGCCACTGATTAAAGATCTCAATGGCATAGTTTTTAAATAAATACATTTAAAAAGTCCATAATATGTAACTGTAATAATGTAATATGTAACATGATTTCATGATGACCATTTATGTAAACAAGAACTGTAATACTGCAAAATACAAAGACAACTTAAAGGTACAACATAAAGGTTCTCACCATATATGCGTTGGCAGCGTTGGGCTGGTGTAACGTGCAGAAATGGGCGACTGCGTATTCAATCAGTGCACCAAAGATGAAGCTGAAGCAAATGCCCAGATACACATCAATAGCTTTGATGAAGCAGTTGGCATTGGGTAAGGAGGTGCGGGCGCCCATCATCAGGGTGGTCATAGTCAAAACTGTCGTCACTCCTGTAATGTTAATCACAGAGTAGAGTTAGAAAAGATTCAGGACTTCACGCTATGAAAGTCATTTGATAATATGATTCCTCCCATTAAAAACATTCTTTTAGCAAATGTTTAAAAAAAGAAGATGTAACAAAGTTTTATTAGTTGGAGTCTGATTGGTGTGAGCTGTATGAGAGTACTCTAAAATATTTTTACCAAAAGGTTGTATTGTTGACATTTTAAATAGTATTTGGTTTAAAGGGGGGCTTTTTCAAGATGTAAAATAATTGCCTGATGTCCCTAGAGTGTGTATGTGAAGTTTCAAAATACCCCACAAATAATGTTTTATACCTCTTTGAAACTGACCCATTTACACTTTGATCCAAGCTGTGCATTTTAGGGTCTGTTGCTTTAAATTCAAACGAGATCTCTGTGAAAAAATTAAAATGTCAAAATATGTGGCTCAGAAGATAATTTTTGGAGACTACAGTGTTCATTTGTGGATTCTAAAACTCAACCATTATAATGTCTTTTAGATGCTGACATTATCTTCAGCAGGTATAGTGTGAAAATAGTGGACGGCTGCTTATCACTCAAGGCTGTCTATGCTAATGAAGGAGAGATTGTCACTAAAGGGAGAATGTCAAAGTATTTCTGCAGACTGTTTTCATTAAGTGTGATAAAAAATAGAATTAATTACATTTTTGCCAGTAGAGGCTGTTTTTATTCGCACACTGTTGCCACTGTTGGGTTTAAACCCCTTATAACGGTGACTTTTGCATAACAGCTCCCTTTTTAATCTGTCCAAAATCTTTTTTTCCAATTGTTCAAAATGAGTGCAGTGTTGTTTATGTTGGCTTTTCTTTTATGTAACGGTTTTGGGAAAGTAAAAATGTAAACTTTTAAGGAATTTTTTTTAATATATATTATGTCTACATCTATGAATGTTATATCTGGGTAATGTTGGAAGTTTAACAGTTACTGTATTTGATGTGTTTTGAGGAAAGATGAGATACCTGTTAGTGTTTAATGTGGGATTCAGAAGGTGGCTATCTTTGTGATGAAGAGAGTTTGTTGTTTAGTCAGAAACAAGCTATTATTAGCCTAGAGTGTTGCATAAGATGTTTGTGTGAAAAGGCAAATCCAGATTTACTCCATTAGCCATGTCATTACAGTAATGGATTATGATCTGAAAATAATAATGTAAGAAATAAATTTGTTCTTTTGCTAAGTGCTCACATTGGCAATCACATCAACACTGCAGCTAAAACTGCTTGCCAGTTGAGCACAGGGTAAGGATCTCAACATACAGTGTCTCAGCGTTTAAGAGAATTTGGACTGAAGGCCAACTCTGACTGACCAAACATCTGATCTGCATGAGATAATAAAAAAAAAGTTGTCTTATGCTGAGGAGCATGTAGTTCACTGGTGTCAAACTCAGTTCCTGGAGGGCCGAAGCTCTGCACAGTTTAGTTCCAACCATAATTAAACACACCTGAGCAAACTAATTGAGTGCTTTAGGCTTGTTTGATACCTAAAGATAGGTGTGTTGAAGCAGGGTTGGAACTAAACCGTACAGGGTTGCTGCCCTCCAGGAACTGAGTTTGATACACCTGATGTAGTTTAAACGAAAAACTGGTCCAGTCTTCGGTCAACTCTGTTACTTAACTGTTACATTAGTAAAAAAGTAAAAAAGTCATAACAATCTTTTAAGCTGATAGAAAAAGCAAGTGAAATTGTGAAAATAACCCACTGAGCAAGACTTTAGAACCACGTGGAATCCTCTGTTGACTGTCCCTTTGGCATGACTTCAGCTAATCAGTTTTAAGCAATGCAAACATTTGTTCTTTAGTCCAACATCCAGCTGTGCAAGAAAACATACAATTCGACGAAAGTAAAGTCCCCTTTTACCCTTTCACTACAATTAACTTTTATTCTAAATCTTGAACCTTGTTCTTGAAACAAAAAAGGTCACATGCAGCCCATATTAAAATTAATTTGAATACTAATTTGGCAATTGTTGTTATCCATGAGTTTCAAATGTAAAATCGTGAAGCTCTACATGATAATAATTATTGTTATTATTATTATTATTAATATTATTATTATGTATTAATTTCTTATTATTCAAATTACCAAATTCTGGCCAGTTTGATATTTGCCAAATAAATGACAATAGGCGACTTTAAAAATAAGCATTTATTCATATTTATTTATTCTAAATCTTCAGGAAATATTTTTGGTACATCAAAAAGTGTTGTTGTGAACACTCGACTAGCTAATTCAGCTAAAAATAGTGTTTAAAATATCGCTAAAATACAGTATTTAAATCTCATAATTAAATAGAAAATGGTGAAAAACTGCAAAAAAGTCCAGTTTATGAGAAAAAAAGCCACCTCTTTCATTCGGCTAGCAACAGGCCTGGGACCTCATGTATTAACGCTGCGTACGCACAAAAACTTTGCGTACGCAAGATTCCACGCTCACATTTAGATTTACTAACGTTAAAATTAACGTGAGAACGTGCATTGGTCCACGCCAACTTCATGTCTGGCATACGTGCATTTCTTGTGTGTGTTTGTTATATTTCCAATGGCGACTCCTAGAGGCAATTATGTTAAGTTGCACACTACAAAGTATCTTTGAGCCGTGCAATGCCAGCTGTATGGGACGGGATCATCCACATGTCTAGCAGGTATATAAGATTTCCATACCATATTTGACCAGCCAAACATTAAAGCCCAATTTGCAGCGATTGTCGGTTTTCACAATGTAATCGGAGCGATCTACTGCACGCACATTGCTATAAAGGTGCCATCTGAAGACGAATTTTCATACATGAAACAGAAACATTTCCATTCAATAAATGTGCAAATAATATGTTATGCCAAATTCCAGTGGCACTGCCTTGATAAGAGCGGAGGGGTGCTGCTTTACCGCCCCAACAAAGTGTTCTTCTAATACATCTGTCTCCCACAGACACGGATACTACTCCAGACAATAAAGTCCAGAATTGAGGCAACTCTCTGCTCAAAGGGTGTTTTGAACAACATCCTCTGTTCCCCCACCTGTTCGGTTCACTCTTTGATGGCGCGCCGCTGTTCTCCTCTTAACCTGCACCTTTACATCAGACCATTTCTTTTTGAATTCACTCACAGTGTAATGTTCAGACCCCACTGCATTAACCACATCAGCTAAACTCTCCCACTTCATTTTTTTTCTTTTTCGTTTGGTTTTGCCAAAGTGGAGTCATTACCATATTTATTAGGGGGAGGAGGCAGGGAGGGGTTTTGAGCTCGTGCACGTGCGCTCAGTTTTACGTTAAGTCAGATGTACAAAGAGAATATGCGTGGGATTCCACGTATGCAGTGTTTCACACATCCGAACTTTTTACTGCGTACGCACATTTACAGCCTTGTGCATACGCAATGTTTTAGTATGAATTCAACAAGTCTTTGTACATGAGGCCCCAGGAATGTCAACTCATTGTGAAATTTCAGTCATTTTGTCATTCACTTTTTTAATACCGTTGTACAATGAAATACTTAAAATTCTGTTTACAACCTGCCATATTTAAATCCTAAAATGAGTTAAAGTATAAAATGATGGGAAGTGTCAACTCTGTTAGTGGTTTAAAAAGTTTAATGTTTATTTAAACAACAATTAGTCACAATCAAATGTTTCCTATCAAATTTTAGCATTGTATATCATTTCATTTGAAGAAAAATGAATGGAAAATGCTCAAAATCTGCCTGTAAATCTGAAATGAGTCATATATTATTTTTTATAAATGCTGAAAATAGTCGTTCTGCGTAGGATCTTGTTTTAAACTGACACTTTTACTTGGGCATGTTCAACACTGAGCATATATTTACTGTCACTTCAATTTAATGATAAAGAAAAGTATTCCTTTTAAACAAAAAAAAAGTATCACCTCAAGCTTTAAACACTAATGTAATACGCTTTTATTGGCTTTTGTGTCATCTATTAGACCAAGCTTCTAAATACTAAAGCACATATTTGAAATAAATAGTCATATTTGAATGTGCTAATGATTGCATTGCGTTCCTACCTATGCAGATGCGAGCAGGTACTGAGGACTGACTGATCCAGAAGGAGACCCAGGACAAGACCACCAGAGCACTGGAGGGAACGTACGTCTCCAGAATAAAATACAGGATGCTTCGCTTGAGTTTGAAGTGGAAGATCAACTTCGGGTAGTTACCTGTTACATTAGAATTAAATTTATAAGTATACACACTGAGAATGTCCCCAAAATATCATTGTGTGTGTGTTTGTGAACATACCAGTCTCATAAACAGCTTCAGATTCAGAGGTGTAATGATCCTCAAGGGTGTACTGTGCCAGCTGTAAATGATCCAGGCCGCTAACCGATTGGTTTCCCCGTGTCCAATAGAAAACAACATCTTTCACGTTATATCCCCCTGTGGAGAACATAATATAAATCCAAGAGCCAATTATCACCACAGAATAAGTCATTTCAGTGCTGAGAGCTACTATATTTCCGCTGAATTACGCATTCGGTTACCACTAATCTTATATGCTGCTAGAGCTCTATACTGTAAAGCAGGCATTAGCATAATATCAATAATTCTAAATGGAGCTATTCAGTGTTTTTTTAGGGTAATGCTGATTTACCATGGGATCCCTGTGGAATTTAAAAACAATTGTACAATCGGCCAAGCATGTGAAATAACATGCTTGTTAGCAATCTATATTAAAAAGAAGTCCTGAAGCAGTTAAACATGCAAGAATTACATTTGCTGGAAGCACACACTTTGTGCTGAGCCTTTAATTAGGTTACTGAATGAGGGGTTAGTGAATATGTACTATAACAATCGCAAGCATAGAATGACTTATGGGGAAAAAACTAATTGATTTTTTTACATGTCATTGATCATTATTATACTGGAGATTTTCTGCAAGGACATTATTCAGTTCATTTTACAAGCATTTCTTGAGCTTAAAAAATAGAAATGCAATGTTTAATTTGAAATATAGGGAAAACACCTCTAAAAAATATTAATATCCCTATGAATACTTGTTTTGGGTGGCACAGTGGGTAGCATAATTGCCTCACAGCAAGAAGGTCGCTGCTTCAAGCCCCGGCTGGGTCAGTTGGCATTCCTGTATGGAGTTTGCATGTTCTCCCCATGTTGGCGTGGGTTTCCTCCGGATGCTCTTTTTTCTCCACAGTCCAAAGACATGTGGTACAGGTGAATTGAGTAAGTTAAAATGGCCATAGTTTATGTGTGTGAACGCAAGAGTGTATGTGTGTTTCCCAGTGTTGGGTTGCAGCTGAAAGGGCATCCGCTGTGTAAAACATATGCTGGATAAGTTCCACTGTGGCGACCCCTGATTAGTAAAAGGACTAAGCCAAAAAGAAATTAAATGAATGAATAATGCGTGTGTTTTTTATTTTTTTTTTTTGCCCATTTCCCCCTTATTTTTTATTGTAAAGGATGTTCCATTACATTCATTCATTCGTTCTCCTTCAGCTTAGTCCCTTTATTCATCACAGCGGAATGAACCAGCAACTTATTCAGCATATGTTTTACACAGCGGATGTCCTTCCAGCTGCAACCATCTCTGGGAAACATTCCAGTAACTCACTCACACACTCTAAAAGCAGTTTAGTTAATTCAATTCACCTGTACCACATGTCTTTGGACTGGAGCACCTGGAGGAAACCCACAGGAACAACGGGAGAATATACAAACTCTACACAGAAATGCCAACTGACCCAGCCGGGACTCGAACCAGTGACTTGCTGTAAGGCGACAGTGCTAACCACTGAGCCAGCTGATGTTCCATTTGTTAAAATGTCATTTAAATATGATATATAAAATAATATTTGATTTCTAATATTTAGAATTTTAATATTTAGTGTAATTTTATTCATATATTAATATATTTATTTTGCATTATTTTATTTATTGTCTGTGTGTTCGTAAAGTCATGATTTGTTTTTATTATTATTATTATTATTAATTGTCGGTTATTTTAACACATCAGCATATACAAATACAGTGTCAGCTATACAGTAGGAAAAAAGTAAACAGGATAATATAGTCAGGCTAGGAGCTGAATTATATACACCATAGAATAGAAAATCAGTAGAAATTTCTAATGTAGTGCCAAAAAGATATCCATAACTGCTAAACGTCATCAGACTTTTGATGTATGGCATAGGTGAGTGGAAACATTTTCAAGGAGGATTACTTGAGGATAACCACAATAGAAGTTGCTTTGCTAGATAAACCAGTATTAAAAACAAATGCTTGGTGTGGAAGTCCAACACATTCTCTACTTTACCATATAACAAATACAATTCCAGAGAAAAACTTTTAAAAAGATAAAAGATCAAAAATAATTATCTTAAAAAGTCCTTGTAGAAAATGATGTTTTCTTCTAAAAAGAGATTATTTTTTCACAATACCAGAAACAGTGAAGGAATGTTCCGTTGCATTTCTTGCAGTTAAAACAAAGATCATAAAGTCGTGATTTTGGTGTAGATTGTATTACTATAATAGAATATACTACACTACACATAACCTGCACTCATTTACTATTTGCAGTTGTTGCTTTTACAAATTAATTTTGTATTCTTACTTTATAATGTACAATTGTTTGATAGGCGACACAGATATTCATTATATTCATATTAAAGCCAAAATCCAATGGCGAAAAAAACATGTCTTGTAAGTAATTCATGCAGCGCTTTGTAAACTGTTGTAATACATAATCTACACCTCAAGATGGCACTGTGTCATGCAAAGTTTAGCATGCAAGCGCGTTCTCCAAAAATAACTTTCAGCACCGATTAAATATTTTTCCTTCATCTAGAGCATAAAACATTGTGAAATATGTTGCCCTGATTTCCCCGAGTATTTGGATATATCGTGGAAAAAGCAGCATATAGTGCTCTGTGAAGAGTAAATAAATTCTAGCTGTCACGCTGTTTTTTACAGCATGCTTAGCTAATTAAACTGCTCATACCATATCTGTCCTGCTGAAAATACAGCGTATTGACTATAATAGACTGGTTTAGGCTTTGGAGTTCGTGATGATGGCTCAATAAACCGTTACAGCATAATGGTATTACAAAAAGCAGGCAACTAGACAAGGTGGAAACACCAGCAGCATCTAAAACACACCATATGCTTTCTTTCTTTCTTAGGAGGCTAATGTCCACTGAACTGCCCAAAATCCTCACGCGAACATAACACCAGTTGACAAAAATAGCTTATTTCTTGAAATATCTTGCAATCTTTTTCTAACTGTGGCTTCATCCTTGCTGAAATAAACAGCACATGCTGGTAAAGTAGCCTAGCATGTTTGAAGATGTATGGCTGCTCAATATTGGCAAAAAAAAATAAAAAATGTCCCTGCACAATTATTTTTTCTGCTATAGGCTATATCTATTGCGATATGAATATGATTTCACAAGATGGCTTAAGCATTTGGAAATAATTCAACATTTACCATTAATTAGGATGATTTTGTAGAGGAGTGCATCTGCACAATATACAAAACTCATTACAAGCATAGATGAATAAAACAGAACAAAGATAGCAATGAAATAACCAGTGATTTATGGTTTTCTGTAGTGTCTAACAGTAGCTAATAGGGTACGGAAATAATCAATATTCATTAATATATCCAAATAATCAATAATCAATTTTAAAGTAGCCTAACCCAAAATGTAAGTATAAATACAACCCATCTTTGTTAGAGCTACAAACGTTCGAAATTCTTGTGCCCAGATGCTTTAAGTTCACTTGAAATATTACACAGATACAGGTATTAAAAACATCCGATTAAATAATTTAGATTAGATTAGGGTTAAACTACTTTGCAATGACTCAACAAAGCATGTGTTCTGAACTGTGGTCCCTGGTTAATCCCAACCGGACATTGCAGATCCTGCAATGTGACTATTGAAGATTTGCATATTGTGGAATGATATATTGTGCAGCCCTACTTTGATGCTGATTTGTGGTTTATACTGGTTTGTGCTGGTCTTTTGCTGGTCTCCATGATCAGCAAAAAATGGCAAACCAGCATCAAATCATATGTTACCAGCAAATGCGGTTTATTTCAGCAGGGATGTATCTTAGTAGGTGAAGGAACATAAAACAAACTGCTCTAAAATGTTCATACTCGGCAAAATCCTACCACAGCAGGGTTAGACGAGTGAGCATACGTGTGCAGATGAATTTTTAACAACTTAAGGGGCATTTATGGTGTGTGCACCTGGAGCATCTATCATTAGTGAACTGAATATTTCATCAGAGCTCAACAAATTTAGAAAAGGATTTGAAACATGCATGATGGGACTCTTATTTTTTACACAGCATATGTGTACCAAATCACACTTTGATGGGAAAATACAGTACTAAGGACAACATGTTCATCAGAAGAATACTGTAGTGCTGACACAGACTAAAAAGCTATTCACTAATTAATACACAATTCAAACTTTTGCAATATAAATGGAATATGGGATGGGACTATATATAACTGTACAATTGCCTCACAAACTCCAACCAAACATTCCAGATCAATGCATAAAATGTAATAAAAAGATGGGAACTCTATACTCACCGGCCACTTTATTAGGTAGACCTGTCCAACTGCTTATTAACGCAAATTTCTAATCAGCCAACTACATGGTAGCAACTAAATGCATTCAGGCATGTGGACATGGTCAAGATTATCTGCTGCAGTTCGAACCGAGCATCACAATGGGGTGGAAAGGTGAATTAAGTGACTTTAAAAGTGGCATGGTTGTGGATGCTAGATGAGCTGGTCTTAGTATTTCAGAAACTGCTGATCTACTGGGATTTTCACGCACAACCATCTCTAGAGTTTAGAGAGAATGTTTAAACAAAGCGAATATATCCAGTAAGCGACCTAGCTGAGTATTGTTGCTGGCCATGTTCATCCCTTTATGACCACAGTGTACCCATCTTCTAATCATACTTCCAGCAGAATAATACGCCATGTCATAAAGACGAACCATCTCAGACTGGTTTTTTGAACATGACAATGAGTTCACTGTACTCAAATGGCTTCCACAGTCACCAGATCTCAATCCAATAGAGCACCTTTGGGATGTGGTGGAATGGGAGTTTCGCATCATGGATGTGCAGCTGACAAATCTGCAGCAACTGTGTGATGCTATCATGTCAATATCGAGCAAAATCTAAAGGAACCTAATAAAGTGGCCGGTGAGTGTATTTCTTTTATGAAAGTGTTATTTGGACATTTTTGGGAGAAAGTTATTTTATTTTATTAACAAAATTCCATAATGTCTCACCCGATTTCCCTAACATCCTATCATCAGGTCAAAAATGAAGTTCTAGACTCAAAACCATACACATTTTGCTGAAAAACAGACATCACTCATAAGCCCTTAAAACACACACACACACACACACACACACACACACACACACACACACACACACACACGCACGCACACACACACACACACACACACACACACACACACACACACACACACACACACACACACACACACTCTACAACACAGTTTTGCAATATTTTCAAAACTGGCAAGTTAGGTTGCTTCTGTTTCCCCTCAAAAATCTTTTCATATGATGAACACAAAAGACGCAACCAATGTGAATACTCTGACACATTTATTAGGGAGAACTGGGACATTTCCTGGTGGCCATGCCCAATCTAGCCTGCCCCAGCATGCTAGTGCTTTCTAAATGAGCACATGGTATAAGCACTGAAAATTGAAGGGATTTCACCAGATATAACAATTCACCAGATATAACTAATGCGTCAAAGCAGGAAATTGTGTTTAAAGTTTAAAGAAATGGGTATGCTTTTTGAAAAAATTATATTGTAAATATAGTTATAAAAAAAGTTAAAAGACTGGTTGTTTTAGCAGTCGAGAAAAATTGTAAAAGCTCAGATAAAAAATAGTTGATTTTCTATTTATTGCTTTCAAAACTTGCCATAGCTCATTATTGGAATATACAGAAAACCCTCCTTTAAAAACAATGATTGCAAAAATTGTCTCCTTGTTTGGCCTTAGAAAAGTTTTTTGAAAACCTTTTTCAAAAAATGAAATTAGTTTGTAGGATTTCTGAAGGAAGCTGATAAAAATCTTTTGTCCATACAGTACATCTTGTATCTTGTTTCACCTGCTATTACAGTTTTTTTTCCTAACTGCTTACACACAAAATCTTTTCTTGTCACATGATTCCTAAAACATCTCACTCAAAAAGCAAAACCACAAATCTCCAAAACCAGAAGCTATTTATCAGCCTTGAACTCAGTTTTTAATTGCATAAAATACTTTTCTAATTCAAAATTCCTCTAGGAAAGAATAGAGTAATTCTTCTCAGCCTGGTGCTGGAAAGTATTTGATAGCCAACCCTATGCTTGCATGATGCTTCTGCAGGCAATGGACGCTTTTCACACAGAAACCCCGCACACACAATTGTGAGGTAGCAAAGAATTCTGGCCTATGTTTGGCATAAAGCTGACACAGCAGGCATTCCTTCGGCACTGGCATACATCATGTGGACCAAACATGGCCTGTGTTTGGCAGAGGTGGCACCGTCTTTAAGGCGGAAAACAAGATTTGGGCCAGATGTAAAATGTAGAATTTGGCCCAGATGTTAAAAATTTATATGTGGCCCTCGTAAATTTGGCCTATCTTGACCCACATTTAAAATAAATTAAATCATTTTTAAGTAAAATAAAATTCTACCAATCAGATCGCTTTGAGAAAAAGCACCTACTTAGTTTCCCTTAAGTGCAATGTTTCATGGATTGATCAATTTCATTGCAATTGTGACACACCAACCTATCTGGCCCAGTTATGGCCTATTTATGAGTTAATAACTTGGCTGGGACTTGGCCCCAATATAATCCTAGTTTGGCCCTTGTATGGAAACCAGACTTGGTCCAGTCATGTAATGTAATTCACTGCAGCATGTGGACCAAGCAAAACCTGATTGTGTGGGCCAGAGCTGGGCCAGATAAATTTTGCTATGTGGGTTACTGTATTCTAAAGAACATACTTTTGCTTTACACGTTCTTTACATTTTTACATACAGTAAGTTTGTAATTTGGTTGTATGCTGCTGTATACACCAGTATGTTCGGCCTAATAAGTATTTTTGGTTTCTTGATGTCTTCCTTGGGGTTTACAGTGTAACTGTTCCACCTCTCAGCCGATGACTGTCACTGTTGATCATTGTATTGAACTGTAGATATAAGCCTATGGAAGAGTAAAGAGCTTTAGATTTTGAACAACCGTGTTTACATGTGTATCGGAGGCCAGCTAGTGAAGTGCTGTGCAGGTAAACCTCACACCTCTGACCTCTAAAAGTGTTATAGCGACAGATGCTAGAGGCCATGGTCTTTAGCCTCCTTGTTAGAGCAACTGACTCCCATGCGGAAGGTCACCGGTTCAATCCCAGCTCGGAGCCGGTTGAGTGCAGTAGGACTGGTGGGGGTTACACATGCTATATTCAAACATTTACTATTATGAAAGAAGTGTTTTGCCATTTGATGCAAATGTTTCATTCTTACTCATGTTTATGGTTTTTTAAATGGAGTGTTACTTTTAAAGGAAACTTGAGGCATTTTGCATTTCATGTGTGCAGTTTTGGGAATTGTGTTTTGAAAGAATGTGACACTGTTTTGAAAATGTGTGTAAGCAGTAGGAAAAAACTGCAAAATACCCTTGTTTTGATACCTTTATATTGGTTGTGTATGCACATGCATTTATTTATTTATATACTTAGAATAATTGTAATTTTTATTATCAAATTATATATATATATATATATATATATATATATATATATATATATATATATATATATATATAATATAATTATTATATTATATATAATATAATATTTTTATTATATTTTGTTTTATTTTCTTTAGCACATGTTAAAAGTTCCTAAAAATAAATAAAGTGTTTTAACAATAAAATAAATTCACTAATTTGGTCTCAACCACTACGTATTGCATAACTATTTATAAATTTATACAATGTATTAATTCTAGCTATATAAATTTACCCATTCTTACAATGGGTCTTCATATTAACACATATCAAGCATTAAAATATGCTGCGTTTGGTTCAGAAATAAAAAAGTTTAGTCAGGTACAGTCTAACATAATATATTGTGAACACTTCTCCAATTATTAGTGAACAAAACCCAATTTGTTGAAAATACTGTAAAATCTGGTTTTAAGTTAAATAGTATTATTATTATTTGAGACCTACAGCTTTCAAGTTGCAGCATGCAGGTCTGTCTGTCCATGGGATATTTGGTGAGGTCCATACTGCAGGCCACTGTGGTGGTAATTCTGGAAAAGGAGAGAATAAAACACAGTGACATACATGAGCGAACGCGACTGCTTATATAACACTGGAAATGAGCTCACTGTTTATGGATGCTACATTCAAGCTTAATTTCTGATGCCAGCTGCCCATCTGCACACAGGCTCTGCGTCCCCTGCCACCACCGCCTCTGTTCTTACTCTGTTTTCCAGCATTTGAACTCTTCCACTGGCCCATATCGCATCCATTTTTAGTTGTCCTCTCATGCCCTATAAATGCCCTCTGTTAATATTGGCAGCAATAGTAAATATAAGGAAAGAAAAAGCTGTAAAGAAGTGTCTTATGTTTGACCTTTATTGTTTTTACTAAATTTTCCACAAAACACTGCATTTTGTTTTTGTAGAACACTGTAAAAATGCAATTATTTAAACCTATACATAGCTAACATACTGAAGCAGGAATCTAACTATACATATATGATAAATCAACCCAGGCTCCTTATTGATACGTACCCCTGTATACATTTCTATACATTGCAAAATACATCCCAGGAGGTTTTATTTATTTAAAAAAAAAATTTTTTTACTATACATATATAATAGATCAACCCAGGCTTCTTATAGATACGTACCCCTGTATACATTTCTGGACATTGCGAAATATGTCCCAGGAGGTTTTTTTTTTGTTGTTGTTGTTTATTTTTTTGCATTTTTTGTTTTCGTGAATCCACCAGAGGCAACTGTGTATGCTTTTTCAGATACCACATTTTCTCAAGAGTGCCATTTATGCCAGCTATTCTCTCATAAATCCACCAGAGGCCGCTGCCGACTGATTGACTGTTTGAGCAGTACCCCTACCCACCCCTTCCCTAAACCCAACCGATAGTATTTTTAAAAGCACCAACTGACTCGATAACCCTTTTTCCTAAACTCAATCGGCAGTGTTTCAAAAGCAAGAAAAGCTTTTGAAAAAAAAAAGAAAAGAAAAGCCTTTGTGTTCGCCTGGTTTTTACCACGTTTTCCAATCTTACCATAACTTTATTATTTTATTTTATGTTTTGCCTTTTGTTTTTGTTTTACCTGCTTTCTGAAATTGTTTTTCACAAGACTCTAACTTGTCTTCGCGGTCAACTCCTCTTTGCATCTAAAGCCCGCCGATGTATGTGGCAAGCTACTGGGCAAACTGGTAACAGCAGAAAAGCTGGCTATATGGAGGTAAGCGGTCAGCTGGTAGCATGAAAAAGAAACAGCCATTCGTAAGTCTGGCTACATAATTCGTGCTCTCCAGCAATGTATACAGGAGTATGTTTTTACAATGAGCCTGTGTTGCAACAAATAGTAAACTATACACATAATCTAAGACAGACTGTACAATTGCTTTACATAATACAGTAGTATACTGTGTAAGATATCGTGCAAAAGAGATATTTAATTAAGTTTAAAAAAGCAAGTACAAGATTACATTTATTTAAGGTTTATTTTAATCCAATAAATGTTTAGTTGAACTAATAGTTGATTTTATAGGGAATAATTTAAAAGGATAAGGAATAAATAAAAGTGAACTTTAAAAGTAAACAAGGGGTTTACTCACTAAAAAAGTATTAAAGGAACTAATTGCTTTTTACAGTGTAATGTAGGTTATTTCAAATTGCATTTTTTGGAGACTTAAGCCATGTGTTTTGATTGTTCTCTGTTTTACCCATGTGACATGTATACTGCCTAATCTTGGCCAGGACGCTCTTGTAAAAGAGATTTTTAATCTCAATGTATCTTAAAAATTAATTTAAGGTAAAATAAATGTTATAATAATAATAATAATAATAATCATCATCATCATCATAATTTGTACAACCCTTGTGAAAAAGGAGCTAATGATTATATCCATTTCTGTTCCTAATCACCAAGATGCACCAAATAAAAGCATAACATCAATTCCAAAATAATTTTAAAAATATTTACCTCATATAAATGCATAGCCTTGCCAATAACTGTAAACAAATACAGTATTTCTCTTCATATTTTGAGCTAAAGTTTAAATAAATGTAGTTTTTTTTTCTCGGGAACCAATATTAGTAGAGGGCACTCTATATTAACCCTGCGGTCAGTGCTTCAACAGTGAGCTCTTTCCTATAGTAGAAGCCCAGTAGCATCTGCTTGAGGAGTGAATGTGAATGAAATCTCACTACCTGAGGGCATACAGGACGGTCCCATTGGGGAATATCCGGATCAGTCTGTTTTCGACAGTGATGTCGTGCAGGAAGGATTTCTTGGAATCCACAATGAACGTATCGGGGACCCAGAGGAGCTCAACCAGCCTCCCATCCAGACTCAAGCTCTTATTGCCATCGAAACACAAGCGTTCGTCAGTCCAGCGCTGACGGAGGAAGATGGTAGCAGTGTAATCCTGAAGAGAGATGTGTGTTTCAGCAGCGACACAAGCTTACATTTACATCATGCACTCAGCTCTTATACAACTCTGACCAAAGATCAAAGAGGCCCTTTGAAATATGGGCCAGTGATCTGACACTCATTTTTGTCTTGATCTACTGAGATTAAAAACCTACACTCAAATGCAGTTCGCATAAGGAAAAAGACTTCTACATGCAAACCTCTTCTCTTGGGAGATCAAAATTAGTTTAGATGTTTTTCTGGTGCTTAGCAAAAAATGTGTGTGGTGTATATGTCCACAGATAAATAAATATAGGTTATTTAATCTTTATATTATGTTGTGTTATATTATATTATATTATATTATATTATATTATATTATATTATATTATATTATATTATATTATATTATATTATGTTATATTATATTATATTATATTATATTATATTATATTATATTATATTATATTATGTTATATTAGGCTCATACAGAATCTACGTGCAAAGAAATCCGCACATTTCCACAGTTTTATTTACTTGTGTAAATGTGTGTAAATTTATATTTATTGAGTTTTTAAAATAATTCCATTAATATTATTGTGATATAATAATAGTGATCCTAAAATGTTCACAGGATTTATTTGCAACACATTTTATGATGTAGTATTTTCTGCCTTTTAGAAGACAAATTATATGAGACTTGCTTTGTTTACAAAATAAGTGGATCTAATTTGATTAGCATTGTAAACATTAAATAAAAGTTAAAAAGGTTTCATTTTTTATTTCATATATTAAGTTTTTATTTATGATACTCCTTAAATCATTTAGCATAAATCTGCAGATTTTTTTTTTTTTTACAAAATCCTTTAGGGAAATAGCAAAAAATGTCAGCAGATTCTGTCTGGTCATAGTTATGATGTAAAAACAGTGTTGGGGGTAACGCAGTACAAGTTACGTGAGTTAATAGTATTACTTTTCTAAGTAATGAGTTAAGTAGCGCATTGCTATAAAAAATAGGTAATAATATGTGTTACTTTTTTGAAAATGTAATGCAAGTTACTTTTTAGTTTAATTAATGAGTTTTTAATTGCTAAAAATTGCTAAAAATTTTAAATTGATTAATATTTAGGTCACAATGAATCACGCAGTCAATGAGAGAATGTGTTCATTATTTTAAACGCATCGAAGAAAGGGAGAAGGGGACTGTTTCAATGGACAGTGATAAGACAAATAGTATAGCTAACACGGTGCTTTAAATATTCAATAATCTGTATATAGGGTATTTAGAGCTCTGGGGTCAGGAAGTTCTGAGATAAAAGTATCCTAAAATTTTTATGTTTTTTTTTTTTTTTTTTAAGATAAATAAAGGTTATAGTGTGTTGTAATTGCAGAGCTCCTCTATTAAAAAAAGTTCTGAAAGAGATCAAGCCTCAGCCAGGTCATAAAAGTAATGCAAAAGTAACCCAAAAGTAACGCAATGCATTATTTACCATAAAAAGTAACTAAGTAATGCAACTAGTTAATTTTTTGGGAAGTAACTCAATATTGTAATCGATTACTTTCAAAAGTAACTTTCCCTAACACTGTACAATGCAACTAATGTGAATGTTTTGCATATATGCAACACTGCCTTTATATTAGTTGCATATATGCAAAACATTCACAGAAAGCAGTGCTTCAGTAATCAATAACCTATATTTAGATGCTTGTGGCTTATGAAATCATCCTACCATGTTGATTTCTGATATTGTGTCTATGCTGGCGATATCCAGACTCATTCCCACAGTAACAGGGCCATCTGAAGAGAAAAACAAAATAGAAAGCAACACGCGCTCCATTTACTATAAAGCAACAACACTGCTAACAGAGAAAGACGGCAGAAAAAGTTCTTAATTTACATGCGTTACAAGAGCGGACTGCATCAACACAAGCCCGGAGCGTTTCCGCTGACTTTACATTTGTTTTAATTGCAGTCGTTGATGATGATAGGACTTTAAGAGAAGATAAAAATCCACTTATGTAAAGATAATAGTGTAAATGTAAAAGCTTTGTTCGTCGTACTGCCGAAGAATGGCCTAAGGTACTTGTTGTATCCCTTCATCAGTTTCTGAATGGTGGGGGGCAAGATCTCCTCAGTGTTCGCAACAGAGCCATCCATGATCCTGAAACAGAAAAAAAGACACAAAACCTGAGCTGTAAAAAGTACTTATACTGCAGTACTTATAAGTAAATTATGCTGAAGTGAAAGTACAGATACTGATTGTAAGTTTTTCTGAATAAAAAGTATTTACTTGAGTAAGAATGAAGAAAGTACAACTTTAAATTGTTCTTTAACTTGTCTAAAGGTCACACTTTACAATAAGGTTTCAATAGTTAATGTTAGTTAATGCATTTATTTACATCAAATAATAATAACCAATAATTGTAAAGCAAGTTCAACATTTACTATTCCTTGTTAATATTAGTTAATGCACGAAGCATTACAGAACATTGTAAGGGAAAACTTCAATAAAGTTAACAAGGATGAATAAATACTGTAATATATATATATATATATATATATATATATATATATATATATATATATATATATATATATATATATATATATATATATATATATATATATATATACACAGTTGAAGTCAGAACTATGAGCCCTCTTAAATTATAATATATTTCGAATTTTTAAATATTGACGGTAAATGGTTTTTATTATTATTACTATTATTAAAAACAGCTTTTGTTGTTGCCGAAATAAAAAAAAAGGCTTTCTCCGGAAAAAAAATTATAGGAAATGTCTTGAATGTCTTTAAAAAATGCCTTGCTCTGTTAAACATCATTTGGGAAACATTTAAAAAAGGCAGAAAAATCCACAGAAAAGCTAATAATTTTTACTTCAATTGTATGTTGTTTGTTGTTTGTTCATGTTAGTAAATACATTTAAAAATGTAAACCTATTGTAAAGTGTTACCATATTAAAAACGTTTTAAAATAATTATTTTTCACTTAAATTGAATCATCATCCAATGGAAAGCTGAATAAAAATCTAAAAGTAAGTTATCAACAGACTACTAAATATTTAACCAAGTTTTCATATTTAACCAATATAAATATTGGTTAAAAGAGCAAAACAAAACAAAATGCATTAGCAAAGGTCAAAAACATCTATTAATACATACAACAGTAATTAAAATGCAGCAGAGTGGAGGACAAAAATACAGCCCTTAAAGTGATAATAAACTAAAGCCTCAATATATATAATAATCAATATTTAATTGTAATAACCTTTTCCACCCATAACACTGTTGATTTACAACCAATTTAAAATAGAATACTTTCTTAAATATTTATTTTTTCATATTTATTACATTTCATAAAAACAAAAAACCAAGCCATCAAATATTATTAATTATATTTTTGCACACACAATTTAACTGAGAATTAAAAATTCTCATTGCTGGATTTTAATAGCACTCACTCCTGCACATTCTGTCAATATGCTAAACAAGATATCCAGCAATGGAAAATTAACTTACTTAGTTTTTACTTTACATGCGTTACAAGAGAGGCCTGTCTATGGCCCAATCCCAATTTTACCCCTTAGCCCTTCCCCTTACCCCCACACCTCATTTCATCCACGTTCATGTTGAGTGGTAGGGGTGTGCTAATTTTCTTTGGCATAAGGCTCAGGGGAAGGGCTAGATAGCCCTCGAAACAGAGATTTTCCAGGGCCACATTCGAAACCAATGGGTAGAAAAATTTCCCAGAATACACGGGCTACAACAGCAGCATTGTTGCACACGGAATAAAGGAGATGTACAAATTATTACTGTTTGTTATTATTATACATTTTTACAATAAACAAGCATATCTTTTAATATATTCATAACATTGTACCTGTTTTGCTGTCATCCTCCAAAAAATAAAAAAACGCTAAATTTTGCAATCTATAATCCATAATAATAACTCCTGTATAGCAGTCCCACAACATACTTTTACATCTGTCATTCGATAACACGCGAATTCCCTGTCAGAAAAGTCTTGTGACCGGGAATTAGCTTTTTACAGTGTCTGCTATAATGTTAATGTTGTTTTCTTGTGTTTAGAGAAATAGGCCAGGGTGTAAATGTTCAGTACAGTTACGATCTTATTGCCACATTATATCATTATAACATGATATCGTTGCCTCCAGTGACTTCCTGAAGATAAATACCAAAACATAAAACAACTGGAATAACTAAAGCATATGAAGCAAGAGATTAGCATGACATATGAAGACCTGCGCAGGTGTTGTAGTGCTGTCCCATTTCTTAGGGGTAAAATTTGAAACCCCTCCCCCTCACACTCTGTTTCATGGGCCAAGGGGAAGGGGTACAAAAATAGAATTGGGATTTAGCCTAAATCAGAGATGCAAACTAAAGCCTGTGGGCCAAAGTTGGCCCAGGGTAACCTTTAATTTGGCCCGCCATCCCATCTGAGAAGAGAGTGAGAATGATGGGTTTGGTGATTGGGGTAAATATCTTTGACAAATATCATACTTTTGAATGTAATTTAACCTTTTGTTTGTTTTGTATTTTCTTTAGTTTTGTAAATTCATCAGATTTTTTAAAATGTAAATACTGTCACTCGACAGATATAAGGCCATGCACAAGACATCGTCGAGCACATCAAGGCAAAGGCAGATGCAGCTTAGTTTATTCAGCATTGAACTCCGTTGTATTAATGGTATTGCTTATGTTTCGGCTGTAATAATTTATTAAAAAACATTTTTAATACACTCATTACACTGCATCCGTTAATATAATTTGAAGCAATGTTTTCTTGTTATTTTTAAATATTAAGAAATAAATTAGAAGATTACACATTGAAACTATAATGTACCTTCGGCCCACAGCCCTCAGTCAGGTTTGGTTTTTAGCCCTTTAAAAGAAAATGTTTTTTGTACCTCTGGTCTAAATCAACACACCCGGAGCATTTCCACTGACTTTACATTTATTTTAATTGCATTTAATTGCAATTGAGGAGAAAACTTACAAATACTAAGTCTTCCCATATTTATTGTCCATAAAATGAATAAACAGAAAGTGTTAAATTGTAACAAGAAAAAATTGTAAGGAGAAAAATGTACAGTATAATTGTAATACAAATACAACTGAATACCTATAGATTAATACTTGAGTACAGCAATCAAATAAAAACAGCTCAAGTATTTTACACCCCTGCTCAAAACACACAAACATAACGCATAGCACCACCCCAGAAGTGCAAAATACAAGCAGAAAAGCAATGTTACCTCGACCGAGCCAAGGCATGTTTTGATCATGCAGATTTTAATTGCCAATAACTTATGACCTAGATTTGAAAAACACAGTATTTTTAGGTTTCATCTCCTCTCTCATTAAAGCACTGCTACTGAAAGCGGTGTGTATGTGTGTGTGTGTGATTTAAAGGCCCTCAGTGATGGTAGAAGCGACTGCATTTCTTTCCTGCTGAGCGGAGTCTCTGTTTCTACAGTGTAAAAGACCCGTGAGCTTCAGATATTATTCAGCTTCAGGATAACAATCCCATAGAGCACTGCAGCACGTGTTGGAAATACTTCAAGAGATGTCTGAGAAAAAAAATAAATAAATAAAAAACCTGCTTGGTTGACGCTACACAATATCCTCATAAATATTCTAGAATGGAGAGAAACAAGTACTGTAGGCCATGATTCACCAGGGGGACGGAGGTACACATGGATTTTTGCTGCTGCTCAATGCGGCAGATCTCAGATTTCTTCAGACATCGCCCCTGCCTATAATATTTGTCTTCTATAAATACATACAGGGCCAAAGTCTGAGTCCATTGTGAAAGTCTGGAATTCAAGATGTAGATTAGACTTGATGATTTATCGTTAAGAGATGCTGATTTATACTTATATTCAGATCACATTTAGGTTTGAGGTGTTTATGCAGCTTGCATGATGTCGTCATTATAGCTAATTGGACGCTCACTTAATTAATAGTACCACCATATTCATGGGTGGTTTTAGTTTATTTAATGTTTTAACTGCATTATGAGACATTGGTTTATACTCTGACAGCCTTTCATGTTGAAATTATGTAAATCTGAAGTGTTAATGTGGCTTTTAATTATTTTTGGTCATTTGAAGCAATATATTGTTTTAGAAATAGTAAAATATGTACAAATAATTTATAATAAAAAATTACAACCTGAAATGAGCAACAAATCAGCTTATAACAATAGACTCTGAGGGCTATTTATATTTTTCTACTTTTTCTACTCTATTTAATTTTATAAACTACTCTTTGTCTGTATTTTTGGTTTAATTATAGCCTTATTGACTTCAACAGATTGTGTTTTGTTGTGTTCTGTTTTTATAGACTTTTACAGCATGACAGAAATCCCATTATTCTCTACTTTTACCCTTTCAGACCATGCATAAATTACATTTCAGGTGACAGGTCATATTTTTTTGCTACCAAAGCATTTCATCTAAACCTTGCTGCCTTGATATTAGACATTTGTCATATAATCAAATGGCAGTTAGGCTCTGCACGTTGTAGTACACTACACACTACACACAAAAAGTAGGGTTGTTTCTTTTTTTTTAAAAGTGCATATTTTGGCCTTAAAATAACATTTTTTACCTTTAGTGTACGCTTTTGTACCTTTAAGGTCCTAAGAGGTAAACATTTGTACCTTTTTAGGTATAAATATGTAACTTTAAAGTACTAATGTGGACCTGATAAGTATAAAAGGGTCACACTTTACAATAAGGTTCATTAGTTAATGTTAAATAATGCATTTACTAACATGAACAAACATTGAACAATACATTTACTACTGTATTTATTCATGTTAATAAACGTTAGTTAATGAAAATACAGTAGTTCATCGTTAGTTCATGTTAACTCATGGTGCATTAACTAATATTAACAAGCATGGATTTGAATGTTAATAATGCATTAGTAAATGTTCAATTATGATTAATAAATGATGTACATGTGTTGTTCATGATTAGTTTGTGTTAGTAAATGCATTAACTAATGAACCTTATTGTAAAGTGTTACCTATAAAAGTATACCTTCTGAAAAGCTATCGCCCAAGTGGTGAATTTTGTACCTTTATTTCTGAGAGTGTATGTATTGTGTACACT